GCATCAATACGACAGTCATCGTCTCATCGGTAGCTGTTCAGAAAGAAGAGTGAAACATCGTCAGAAACCTTAGTTCGCTTATTCCTTTTATATGTTGGTGTAACAATAAACAAATCTAAAGCGGCAGATCAGTGTTTTGGCTTTTGCGTCCGTTATAACTAAGCGTTTCTGAGAAATCTTCGAAGAACAGCGTGGGCCCGAGCGTAGCGAGAGCTGGGCATCAACGGTTTATGAGACGTGATTGACAGTTTCTGACGACAGAAACAGATCTGGCGGATTCAAACAGTTGGTGAAAGTTTGGATAGTCGCCGTTCATCTTTCCTCGTGCCGGTCAAGTCCTCTTTGAACAAGCAATATCTGGAACTTTTTGGAATTGGGTCAAGTTCAACAATGCCTGGGTCAAAGAAGGGACAGAGTGTCTTGGATGCAAACAGGAAAGTAAGTCATGGTGACTTGTCTGTTAATTGTAACGATGTGTCTGATGTTAAGTATGACATGGTTGATGTTACTGTTTCGCCGTTCAGGGAGAATAGGAACATCAAACTCCCTAAATTTGAACCACGATGTTTTGATGGAAACCCGGCTGATTATTTACAATTTGTAAAGGAGTTTGAGATCATGTTGAGTGGTTTTTTATTCAATGATGAATTGAAGTTAATGTATTTGATGAGATATTGCACTGGAGAGGCTGCAAGAGCTATACAGTCCTGTAAGTTTATGAAGCCAAAAGAGGGCTACTACGAGGCTATGAGCATATTACGTCAAAGGTTTGGAAGACCTTCGATGATTGCAGGGAAATTATTCGAGGCTGTTAAGGGTAATGGTGGTCAATTACAGGATGACTCCCAGGCACTCACTGAGTTTTTAGATAATTTGCTAATTTACAAGAATGGAATGATTTCGATGAATCGAATGAGTGACCTCAACTCGAGTTTTATACTAGAAGTAATAGCAAGACGTCTACCTACTCGACTGCAAAGGAAGTGGGTGAAGATGAGCTTCCGTATGGAGGATGAGGGTATCGAGCCAAAGTTTGATGATATCCTGAAACTGGTAAATACTAGTGTCAATCAATCTATGAGCAAGTTCGCCAGTCTATTACATCTCACCCCTAGAATAGAGCAGTCTGAGATCAAAATGCAATCATTGATGACGAGTAGGCCTCAGATAGGTGGATATCGAGAAGACTCCATGATGTCTAGTAATGCATATAGACCTAGTGAGTGTAACAGGTTTCGTAGTACATCCTCAACAGATAAGTTACAAGATGCAAGACAAACACGGTTTTGCTTTACACGTGTGCAAGAGGTGCATACAAAGGTGAACTGTGAACCGGTGAGCAAGTTCAGTGATAAGCTAAATGTAAACTCCAGGTCTGACTCCGAATTGTGTGACGATAACGGTGTTGTGAAGAAGTCTGTAGTCGCAACTGGTAAGCCATTGTTGAATAGAGTGTCACAGAATAGAGTTGCTGCTTCAGAGTGCAGTTCTGACTCCAAAAGTTTACAAGGTATTACTAGTCAGAGTGAAGTTATAAAACCTTTTATGATTTGCGAGGAGGAACCAAAATTGTCTACTTCTGTTATTAAAGAGTTTGAAAATGATGAACTTGACGGTAAAGTGAATATTCGTGATAATGATCATGATACTTCACAGTTGTCTTTGGTTGATCATGATGAGATGAGGGATATGCCTACTACTGCTGAGTTAAATAAAGGTTCTGTACAACTACAACGTGAAGTAGAATTGAACGCAGATGCAGTTCCAAAAGGTGTGCATACTTGTGAGACAGTCAGTGTAATTGATCAGCGTGTAGCCCACCTATCATCAGATGATAGTGCTAAACCCGAACTAGTAGTGAAAGACAGCAGTGGTGGTAATCTTGCAGTTGGACAACTATCTGAAAGCCGAACAAGAACAGCTTCTGATCCACCACTAAGTTCATCACCTTGTGTCACTCAGTCATCGTTGGTGCTGTCATCCACAATGAAACAGACACCCATCAACTCAAGTATCTTGTGCAATGACTATGCTAGTATCAGTTTGTTTGAAAGGACGAATATCAATGGTCAGTTTAGTGAGGATAAGCCAAGTGTAAACGAGAGAGTAATTGTTAAATTGACTTGCACGAATAAAGGCATTTCTAGTTTCAAGTTACTATTTGAATGTTATTATCTTTGGTGTAAATTACTCTGTTTCTATACTTGGTTGATGAGATATGTCGTGTGTTTGTTGGTCATCTATATTCTACGATACAATGACATGGGCGTGTTGCCGTTCAGAGTTGGGTATATAGCTCATAGAAGGAAGTTAGCAAATGAACTCTGCGACGATTTTCCAACCTAGAGCGTCAACCTGAGAAGGGTTGTAGGCGTACTGCTGTAAGTCCTACAATTCTTCAAAGGGTAGCGCATCAATGAGCAGTCCAATGTGTTTGGTGTGTGATTTTGTACATATGTTCATATTGCATATACTGAATTTATATCATCTCTCATCTAGCTGTTGGTAATTCTGTTTGTGTCTGGACGACTTCCACTTGGATCATCAACCTGAAAAGGAATGTAGGCGTACTGCTGTAAGTCCTACAGTTCTTCAAGGGTAGTTTGTCGTGTCAGAATCCACAACATTTGATGTGTTGATTGTACATATGTTTGTGTTAAATAATTGTGTGAGTTCCAATTATTGTAATTGTTGGTCAATCTTGTTTGTGTCCGGACATTCCACAACTTACAATCGTCAACGTGAGAAGGGTTGTAGGCGTACTGATGCAAGTCCTGCGATTCTTCAAAGGAATTCCATCAAGACATGATCCGCGAGTTTGTGTGTACTGTTTGTATATATTTGTGGTGTGTCATATCAATTGGTGTTTTTGGATTCATTGTGTTTACTCGTTGTTTTCGTATCTTGTTGTTATTGCATAATTTTGTTAAAATTTTCGTCGTGATTACTTCTGAAGTTGGTTCGAGTCTTCTACATCCATGAATGAATTGGTTGATGTTAAGGACAGCAGATGGGTCGTATACGCCGGGGAGGCTAGGCTATTGCTGAAAATGAAATGCACACGGAGATAATTGTTAGCTGCGGTCCGACACGCCGGGGAGAAAGAGTGTAAACGACTGAGGCTCACATGCGTCACCACTATTAGAACTGAGGTAGAATGAGTGACCAGCGATTGCAGTGGTAATTGGTAGTGAGTAGATAAGAGGATGAGCGTAGAGTATCATGAGTTGGTGCTATGGTCACGTTGCATTCTGCAAGAGTCATTCTAGTAAGTGGCGATTGTGTTGCAAGATGTCAAGAGGAGGTCTCTGTCTGGAGGCGCAGGTCGTCATTGATGTGTGAGATTGTGCTGTGGGTATGCTTGTGGTGTGTTGGCTTTTCTGTTTGTTTTCCATTTCAGCTCTGTCCGTGTGACCCAGGTTCTCGCAATGGCATCCAAGTCAACGTGCATTGGTCGTGAAGGAAAAAAGGGTTGGATCCCTTTTTTGCCGGGGAGTGTCAATGGAGTTGAAGATTGAACGATCAATTCATGGTTGTTTGCTCAAAATCAACTTCCCCAATTTTCGCGGAGGCATCAATACGACAGTCATCGTCTCATCGGTAGCTGTTCAGAAAGAAGAGTGAAACATCGTCAGAAACCTTAGTTCGCTTATTCCTTTTATATGTTGGTGTAACAATAAACAAATCTAAAGCGGCAGATCAGTGTTTTGGTTTTTGCGTCCGTTATAACTAAGCGTTTCTGAGAAATCTTCGAAGAACAGCGTGGGCCCGAGCGTAGCGAGAGCTGGGCATTAACGGTTTATGAGACGTGATTGACAACTGTATATAACGGCAAATCTTCTTCTACCTTGCTTACAAAATCCGGTGTTCCACAAGGTGCTATACTCTCTCCTTTTCTTTTTTCTTTCTTCCTACATGACCTACCTCATTCAAACGACACCAACTTTGTCAAATATGCAGATGGTCTGACTGTATCACTTCCGAGTCTGACAGCTCCAAACTTAATAGCTTTCTGTTGGACATCAACAAGTGGTCCAATTCAAATGGTCTTATATCAAGTCCTTCCAAATGTCAGGCGCTTGACTTTACTTTCAAGCATCGACGTGACTTACTTGAACTAGTTAACTCGCATGATCCCTGTAGCATAGATGGCACGGAAATTGAAACCAAATCAAGCATTAAATACCTTGGACTAGTTTTTTCCTCTGACCTTTCATGGTCATCCCATATCTTATCTATCTCTAAGAAAATGTTTCGTCTTACCTTCTACATTAAAAAGTTAAGACAATCAGGTATCAACCAACCTTTAGTTTTGCAATTTTTAAACTCCTGTATTTTACCTATTGTACTCCATTGCTCTTCATTAATCTTTCCTGGGCTTCTCAAAAAAGATTATATCATATTACGAAGAGTATTAAATGCTGTCAGTAGAGCTTGTGGTCTGCCACTGCATGAGCTCGCTAATACTATAGTCGAGAGGCATATAAATTCCTGTACGAAATGGGCAAAGGCTATACTGTCAGACCCTCTGCACCCCCTTTATTCACACCTGTCCCCTTGTATCTCATCAGGTAGGACGAGAAGTCAATATAAAAAGTTATATGCTCGTACCACTAAGTATAGAAATTCTACAATACCCTATTTAGCCCGTACTTTATGTGACGAAGACTCTGTTAGACGTGAAACTTACAAGTTACTATGTAATAAGCACAGTGAATCGACCCTTTCATCGTTCATCTTTCTGTATTTTATGGTGTCACACTTTCTATCGTTTAATTGTTACTCTGCTATTTTATTTTAGTTGGTATCACTATTATTACCACAATTTTGTACTTTATGCATATTTTTCTCCGTATGGCATACAGTATTTTGCTATGTAGCTGCTATAACAATCGGTTTATTACTGTTATGTAATGCGTATTTTTAATTTTTTTTGTCGTTTTTGAGTAAATTAGATGCAATATTGTACTGAATGCTGAAAATTCCTTGCTGTATCATTAGTACTGTTTTTGGAATAAAGCAAAAATTTATTATTATTATTATTATTATTATTATTATTATTATGACACGCAAAATAGTGAAGCGTTCCATATTTCCTTCACAATCATGCATACACTACAACTCGCCATGCTGGCTGAGTGACAAAGATTCCCAGATCGGTTTCAGGTTGATGAACAACGTGTTTCTCGCTCGCCTTCCCGATTCTCCCTCGATTTGACATCCTCGTCTGTTCCGACTGCCTAGAGTTGAGACAGTGCTCCCTAGATAAGTGGATGAAGTAATCTATTTCAAATCCCTCCCATTGATGGTGATTGGCGCTGGATGTTGTTGTTGGTTGGTTGGTTACATTCATAACTTTCATCTTGTCTACATTCATCTGGAGTCCTGTCTTCGCCAGCTGCTTCATCGACCAGTTTGTTGGTTTTCGCTTGTAAGTTTTCGATTTTGTGACATCAAACATAAATCATCCACGCGCAGAGTCCAGGACTTCTAAGTTCTTCACGTCAATGCAGGATATTCCTGTCTTCTCATTTCCCACTGTCTGACGCTACCAATGCAGTTGAAGATTGAACGATCAATTCATGGTTGTTTGCTCAAAATCAACTTCCCCAATTTTCGCGGAGTCATCAATACGACAGTCATCGTCTCATCAGTCGCTGTTCAGAAAGAAGTCAGCAATAAACCGTCAGAAGTAATCTTGTGATTTATTATTGTAATATTTGTTCACAGACCTTAGAGGAATTATTTTTTATATGTTGTTGTTACAATAAAGAATTCTCGAGCGGCCAATCGGTGTTTTGGTTTTTGCGTCCGTTATTACTAAGCGTTTCTGAAAAACTTCAAGGAAAAGCGTGAGCCCGAGCGTAGCAAGAGCTGGGCATTAACGGTTTACGAGACGTGGCTGACAAGGCGTGAAGGTACGGAAGTTTATTGTAGATGGAACGAGCGTTTATAAGGAAAAGAGTACGTGATCTTTAATGTGCGCTAGAGGCTGAGGCGAAATGAAGGAGATGATGGCGTGATTAAGCTAAGATTAAATGAATAATAGATGACACACTTGCTGGTACATCGAGTGTTCGGTGCGTAAAGCCTTCATCATTTTCGTTAAGGATCTGCGAAAAGAAGAGGGTATCTATGGCTGATCTCTGAGTCAGCAAACACATGGGGATAAGCACACGGGAAATGGTGTCTGAAGTGGACAGATTTGGAGGCAGGAATACACATCGCTTGACATTAGTCTGGTTTTTGGCATAAATATCGGATGAGGGAAAGCGAATAAGTGGTGAGGAGATTGACTAGTTTGAGCCTTGTGAAGACAGTTTTGGTGTCAAGGAAGTGTGTTTGAGGGGTATGAGCGTTGATTAAGTGGATCTCAGAGCAGACTTTGCTGAATGTTAAGGTGACTGAGCGCCTGGAATTTGGGGGTAGTTAAGATAGCATTACGCCGACTAGTAGTATAAGTTGAGTAGCCGCAACTAGCTGTATTTAAATGTTGAGGATAAGAGAAATTGAAAGGCTGAATAATCTCATGTATTTTTGATACCTTCGGCGTACTTTCAGGAGATTTAAGCCCGTAAGTAGTAGAGGACGCTGAATCAGACTAGAGAGAGTATATACGAAGCACAAGAATTCCGTTCCATACATTTCTACTCAGAATCTTACGGTTAGATGGGAAAGTATTACAAAGATTTTTGATACTTTCAGTATAGTGATTATATTTTTTATTGGTACATTTCGCAGCAGATGAGTGCCTTCCATATCGCATAACGGTTGAGAAATACTGGATTTAGTATCGGTAGCCGTATCAAGCTTCATTTTAGGGCGACTAGGGAGAGGGCCTCTTTTAAAGTTAAGGGGGTTTATGTTGATAACATTAGGGCTAGCGGTATCTTTTTGGTGGCCGATTTCATCAGATAAGATCCTTCGCCTGGCACAAGGTTGGACTGGTGTCCTGTCGTGAATAAAACGTATATTTTTAAAGCTGCCCACTCTCCTAAAATGATGCTGGTTGTTTATAAAGTGGCCTTCACCCACAATGCTGTTATATCCGAACATTATTGGACAGGATGTATCTGACGAGATTTTACGCAATCATTTGCAGGTAAAGTAAGAATCTGGTATTTCACATGCCTTCAAGTGTGTTTTTCAATGTTTTAAAGTTAGCACTGTCGGGCACATTGAAAACAATTGTGTTATGCATGCAGTGAACACGCTTTATCACTTCCGTGGAAATATAATCAGTAGTTCTTCCACAAGACTGTAATGTATCGTAGTCAGGGTGATCAGTAGACTTAATCAGATACTAAAGAGACAAAAGATCATGGACTAGTTGATAAATGTTTGTTTTTTCTAGGTTATAAACTTGGGTGGATGTGTGTTGCGCAGATAATGAGCTTCTTGCCTATTCAAATACGACATTATGTTGGCGTTCACGTGTCGTTGATGACCGAAAGAAATTTTTATAATGATGGGCTTTGTTGGTAACAGTTGCGATGACGCTACAATCTAATTCCTGTACCGGCACGCGTGTACCCTGCCTAAAAGCACCTGACTGAGTAGAACTAGATGACGGCAAATTTACCTGTGTATTGTAAGGATTATATGGGTCGACGTCCATGGCTACAGAGCATTTAGAGGAGTTATTATTTCTTTTAAAACAGCCCAAAGAACTGATATCAGTAAGTACATATAACAGTGAGGCTACATGTATTTTCGGACCTTCTGACTGACATTTCCGAAAAAGGTATTTGGGTGTTGTAGATTCGGCCAAATCAAAAGGAGCTGGTGTTAAATCTTTTACTGAGATCTAGTGTGGCTAGGTGAGTATCCATAATAGCTGTCTCACTACCTGTGCTACTGTAAATATCACTAATAGAATCACCTTTTGCACAAGCCGGTGAAGAGGTAATAATATCTGACCTGTTCTTACTTGGATTCTATGTCAGATCGGGAGAAGGTATGTTACCATGCTGTTTGATCTTACTAGATTTATGTCTTTTGCTGATGTTTTCAGCCGATAATGAAGCACGACGCTTCAATAGCTCAAACGAAATTAAGCTGCTGGAATGATGTTAAATAGGTCCTGCGGTATTTGACGTTATGCCAAAAAACAGTTAGAATATGGGCACCGAAATCCAGATACTCGATGTGGTAACACCTTAACCTGCAACTTGAAACAGGGTGAATAGCAAGGATAATATCCCACGACTAGAAGGGCAGTTTTAGACATAAAAACTATTGCAATTTATAATAGTAATCAGTAATACTAAAAATATTACCTAAAAGTGAGAATACGAAAGAAAATAACAAAAAACGAAAATCAGTCAGAAAAGTACGATAAGCCTTGAACACGCGCAAAACTTGAAGTTCGATTGACAGCCCATAGGGCAGCCGGCATACGACCGTAAGTCATTAGATCAGCCGATGCCATTGGGCTATATTTATTGAAAAATCTCAAAATTAGATACTTATTCATTGTTTGACACACTTTCACGCTTAAATTCCTGCTAAACGTTGATGGAATAGGGAGTATTTAGTGTAAACAGCGGATGATGGTGTCCTCATCCGGCCGTAATTTACGGTCAGTTTACAAACACGCAGTGTTTCGTTGAGAAAATGACAAATTACTTATCGACACAAATTATGACGACTTTTAGTGATGTTTTTTCGCAGTTCAAAGGATTAGACATATCCATGATGAGGTAGGCTAGTTCTTTTTTCTAGTTATTTTCACTTACTTTGTTGTGTACCTCAAATAATAGTGTCAAAGGTCCTCCACATGTGCCTATTTAAGGGAGGCCTGCAGAAATACCCGGGAATTATCTTCACATTTCATTTACTTCTTATACTGTATAGACTTGGTGTTTACAGGCCAATGCAATGTCCATTCTGTATGCTTGAAAGATATTGAGTGACGTAAGTACACACAATTTAACGCATTAGTTAGTATTTTATATCACTTAAATGTTGTGTTCATAATGGTAACAACGTTTACATCTTTTGATTGCTTAATTTCTTTTTCAGGTGATATCTACTCTCGGGGATTTCATGGAGTTGGGTGCTGAAGCAAAAGATTACCGCAGTGTCATTGATTTTGTATTACATGTTTATTCATTAAAATATCTATTCCTCGTTATTTCTTTGTGTATTCTACTGGATACGACCGAATGTTAGGCTTTGCTTTAGTTGTGGGGTACAGGGTGTATGAGGCTATCTTTGAAATACCAAGTAGGGGCAGATATTCTGAGAAGCCCATTGGTAAAAATATTGTGTTGTGTCACATAAAGTAAATATTTCCAAATCTCAGAGGAGGTATTGCGATTATAAAGCGTTCCGAGTTATCTGTCGTCTTAGCAGAACACATAAACTGATTTGTGATTCATAGTCACAAAGTGAAAATAAATCTACCTGATGGTGTGCTCATGATTTCAACGTGTCGCAATGTACCATAAAGATAGACTGTACCTATACTGTTAGATTTACAGCTCATAATAATTAAAAAAATGAATACGGTTCGCAGCCACAGAACATGGTACGTTGCTATCTGTTCATCTAATCGCGTAAACAAAAGCCTCCCACGCACCCCATTTACTCCTAACAGTTTACCAGCAATTACTACCCTGGCACATGTTACTAATGTTACTGGAACACAAACGCGTTACAACACAGATACATCGAAAAAGTGTTTATTAAACAGAAATTAGATTTCAGATGTACAGATAATTCAGATGATTAATCCTCTGTTACCATCAGTAGGTTCCATCTGCGTACATAGCACATATGTGCTTCTCCACAAGTCGGAAAAGGTTTAAGAAAAGCATTATTAACTTGGGCAGTAAATGTATGATCTAAATATAAATTTTCCCTGATAAGCATTTACAAGCAGTCACTATTCAAACAATATACAAGTAACTGGATAGTTTTCACTAAACTTAAGGCACTTCGCAACGTGTCACTGGTCGATATCTAGTAGGTCAGCCGAAGCATCCTGAAATGATAAAATTATTTAACAAGTTAAGCAGTATTTTCCAAAGCTTGTACAAAGATTTTAATAAAAATGATAATGGCTTTATGACGAATAATGGGCCTTGATAGCGATAACAATAATAACGTTCATGATCAAAGTGACTATAAAACAATGATAGGTATTATTATCGCAACGAATTCATCATTATCTTAGATGGAAAACTAATAATAATACAATCATATCGTTTAAATGTATCACTAAATCTTATAAATAGGTGTTCACTTACGTTCACTGTATTCACTTATGTGGTCAGCTTGCTTACTCCAAGTGAACTCGAGATTTGTTCTGAAAGTGAACTGAGGCCCAGTTTATGTCAACTAAAAGCATGTAGCCTACATGTATTATGCTGCGTACTGAGACATCTGACACCTGCTTTCCGATCTTTGTGACAAGAATACGGTGTATGTATGTATACCTACATATACATGTGTATGCTTGTATGCTGCATTATTAAATGTATCACACAGTGAAACAGTATTGTATACAATTTATTGTTCATAATCATACCAATTTTCGATATGATTATGAACAATAAATTGTGTTCGAAACGTCATCCAGTATACAATAC